GCTGTATTGCGCTGCTAATCTCACTTGGCTGCCTTTCCTCTCTGCTCAGTACTTGCTCTGATGCAATCATTGTGAACACAGTGGTTCAAACTGCTTCCATTGTAAAGCTGTGGAGTGGTCTTTGCAAGGGCTGCACTTGTGTTAGTGTAATTTAGTGAACACTGACAGCGGCACATTTGAGTAAGAGACAGCTTGAACCCAGAATAAAAGGTCCTCAGCTCTAAATTGGCCAGGATTGTTTTTAAAAAGTGTTTAAATTTCTGAATGGTAATACACTGAATGTAGGCTTCAACAGGAAACACACGCTGACCTCATTGTACTGCCAATTTAATCCCACTTACCCTGATTCAGATTACTGTAATCTCATCCTCATTACTCACACACAAACTCTGCCTTCTGATGCAGTCATCCACATTTGGGTTGAAAACTATAGTAATATTTAAAAAGGACCAACAAAATGAAGTGACCAACATTCTTGCCATTGTCACTAATTTGTAAGATTTCTCCTATGATGCCGTTTTTAGAGCTCTAAAGATCAGAGGCTGGTGTATTCTGGGAAGCTGCTTTTGGATCACTTTACTTTAAAAGATGTGCTCAGAAAGGTAAGTTTAATAATACATTTAATAATAATAATAATAATAATAAGTTTATTTTTGTTTAATAATGCGCTGTACTGGCATCTACAGCAGGATGAGTACCATATGCTCCACCTGGTGTGTGCGTACCATATGCTCCACCTGGTGTGCGCCTCACGAACACCTCCTAGCTCCCCAAAGCCCCCCCGCAGCCACGGTAACAAGCCTCGGGAGAACTCGGACCGTCCCACGGTGGGTCACCCATGCACTTCTCACACATTTCATCATTATCACATTTCCTTTCATCATCCAGCTCGCTGCTGCAATCTATACCTCCCTGTGGATTTGAAAAACATCACCTGCCTTTCTTTTAAAATGAACCACAGACTATTGCTAATATTCAGAATGCATTTTTCTGGTTACAGCCCCTTCAAAATTCAAACAGCCCTACTACAGGCCAACATAACCAGTCATCTACAGAAGAAAGCAGTAATGGTCTCAGACAGCGAGCAGGGCCCTTCTTTTACAACCCGATGTATCCACAGTTTTTGCACAGGTAAGCTTCTGGACAGGTGCAGAGTTAAAGGCTGTGTTAGTAAAATAACTCAACAGCAACTCAAGATTTATACGATTCCAGACCTATAGATTATGCATCAAATACACAAAGACATGCACATTGTTACCTAAATACAACTGCAATTTAACATGTTGGTCACATGTTTGAACAAGCACATGAGACACTTTACATGAAACTCATGAATGCACTTTAATGGAACAGTAACTTCAGCAAGCTGTCAGTATCAGGAAGCCCCTTTCCTCCTTCATATACATTTTAAACTTGCTGTTCATGCTCCAAATATCATGAGAGAACTGCTGCTCTCTCGTAGATACAAGACAGATGAAGCCAGTCATGTTGCAGATTTCATGTCAGAAAGGGCGTGGCAATTCAGAGCTGCTATAGGTTTGAAATAAGATTACTTCAGTTTAGTCCAGGTTCATGTCAAGTTATTATTAGGCCTGCTTCTTGATGAGAAAACTACCATGGCCACCACAGCCATTATCGACTCACTAAGCAAGTTTTAAGTTTGTCTACATTCAAATACACAGTAGGTGTGTGCGTGTGGCAGGTCGTAACTCTAATGCAGTCTCTCCTTTTCCAGCTGGAATCAGCACTCCCAGTTGTCGACTCCTCCCGCCAACATTCCCTACTATTACAACCCCATGACGCTAATGTGGTGGCAGCAGATATACGCCCGGCAGTACTACATGCACTAGTAAGATCATGTCTCCCGTTTCTGATTGTTGTTAGCATGTTACCATCCAGTTCTGCTCACATCCCGTCTGTCTCCCCCAGTCAGTCACTGGCTGCCTCCTCTCAGCACCTCAGGCAGGACCAGAACCCGACACAGTCTAACCAACCCGATCCTCTAAGCCAGCGTCCTCAAGTGGATCGCCGTGGCAACCCAGAGGTCCAGATGAACGCCCAGGGAGGGGAGGTCCTGAACGAGGAAGAGCTGAACCGGGATTGGCTGGACTGGGCCTACACACTCTCACGTGCTGCGATCTTGCTCAGCATAGTCTATTTCTACTCGTCCTTCAGCCGATTTATCATGGTGGCGATGGCCATGCTGGTGCTTTACCTGTGAGTGATCGGTGACTGCCTGTGTTTTGTCAACCAGAGTTATGCTGCTGTATATTTGACATAGAGGGACTTCTGTTCAGTGCCTGCCAATATGATGGGAAGGTTCTTCCCTGACCACCAACCGCATCAAAACAGTCAGTAAAACACAAAAGGTATTTATCCTAGAGTTATTGCATTGATGCTTTTTCAAATGGTTTTTCCAACCATAAAAGAATTACATTGACAAAAACACCGAAAACGTTCATGCCTCAATCTCACATTTAAGTGAATAATAATGGCCTCCTGAAACCGTTTATTCTTGAAAAATGGATGTCATTAAAATCAGTAATGTAAAAATTCATCACAGGTTGAATGCTGTCCTTTTCCTCAGACATAAAATCATAGCTGTGCTGCTACAAAAGCCCATAGTAGTATTGCACTAAACTGTCAGAAGGTTCTGATTCAATCAGTTTGATACATTGATCAAGCAACCAAAATGTAAAACAATGTCCATTACAATTTTTTGTCTATATAGAATAATAATAAAGTAAACAGTAAACAAAGCCTGCAGGTTACACATTGTTTTGGTTTTATCGCACTGTTAAAAGTTGAAACCAAGTTGGAACTGCTAACTGATTAATCAAAAGTAAGTAATCGATAATGAAGACGGCATGAAAATAATCCGCACAGGCCAGATGCATACAGTTTATAACGTTATTTGTTTCTGTCTGCAGGCACCAGGCTGGCTGGTTTCCCTTCAACCTGGAGAATGAACTCCATCTCCCTGGAGACAGAGCCCATCAGGATGATATGGAGGGAGAGCTACCAAACCACGACGTACAGGAAACGGTAGCTGCCTCACTCATCCATCTCAGCTTTAACAAGAACAGTAACCTGAAGCTGAAGGGGTTTTTGTCTGTAGTACAGAACTAAAGTTTTCTGTTCAGGATTCTAAAATATGCCACTAAAAGAACTGCCATCATATTTTGCATGAAAACTTCAAGGGAAGAAAACAGACCCTGGCAGCTTATAGGTTATTTTAATCCGCATATGAATTGGTGACTGGATATTGAAATCAAATTCTGCATTAGGGAGCCATTTCATTTCAAGGTCAAATATTTAAGATGTACAGGGCTCTAAAGACACCGTGTGTTACTGTAGTGTGGAACACAGTACCTCATTCATTCTTATAACCTTCATCCTACACAGGAAGGACTGATGGATGACGACTCAGATGATGAACAGGAAAGTGGAGAGGAGGGAGCAGAAGATCCAAACAGCACCCCCCACGCGGGCTTCCTGTCCTCCACGTGGTCCTTCATCGTAACATTCTTCATGTCACTCATCCCAGAAGGACTGCCAAATGCTGCAAACTGAACCACAAGCACCGTGAGCAGCCACAGCACCACGTGAGCACACTCTTTAAGAGGACAAATATTGTACCTGCTTAGGGAAACTGTTTGTCTGTTGCAGTGCAGTGTTATAGTTTCCCAGTAGTCTTCTTAATCCTATATTTTGAGCCAAAACACAAAGGACTGATTTATCCTGAAAAGAGAAAAAGGTCACTTTATATTAATTTTTTGTTTGCACAAAGGAAACAACTTGTCAAACAACGGTTGCTTGGATTGCTAGTGATGCCTTGTAAACATAGTAATGCTTCTGCCAATGCACTGTTCCTATAATTTACACAGGAAACATGATTACATACCTGCTTGTGTTCACCAACCTCAGCATCTTTTTTTTTTCTTCTTTGTAAGAAGCTACAATATTTGTTTAGTTTTACCTGAATGGTGGTTGAATACTAATAAGAAAGGGACAGGAAGTTATTATGAATCATGTAGTACTGTGGAAAAATGAGTGACTTGAAGAGTTCATAAGATATTTGAACACATTGTATAGTGTGTTGTAGTATGACCCAGAGTGATGAGTCAGTGACTGTACCACACTTGTCTCAGTCAACCTGAAAGAACCGAATGAGACGGGGGAAAAAAAAACAAAACAAATCTTCCACCACCAATGGAATATCAAACAGGGTGGTTGATGTGCTGTGACTTCAGTAATTTGACTCTGAGGAGACTGGAGACACGTTTTCTACTGTTAAATAAAAATAAAAACTGCCACAATGCAGAGTTCAGGTAGGTATCTCCCACCTCTCCAGTTTGTGGAAATGTCTCCTGCTGTTACCGTTAACGTGTACTAATATTAATGTCTATTAAGCCTACCTTTGTGGTAATGTCATGTGTTAATCATTTTAAGCTCTCACTTAAGCAAAGAGCAACACATGATCACAAGTAACGATATAACCGTGCAGAGCCATGAAGAGTCATTCTTATAGTGGCTGGCATTTTAAATACATTTTTGGTTAAGAAGAATAATTTGTTAGATATTTATGAGAAGTATAATCATGACACTGTAATGCATCTTTTGTGGCCGTTATCAACAGGAAAATTTGGCAGCTTTGGGTGAGCATAAATAACATTAAAAGAGCAATTTCCCACTGTTTGGGTCGTTTCCTTGTCCTTTCTGGAGGTGCGCCTGGGCCGACACACTCCACTACCTTCACTCAGACTCACTCGTTTCTTGATTTTAATAGCAATTATTTTCCTTTATTTGGTTTTCAGTGTTCTAGCATAGAAAAATAGCATGTTTCTTACCAGATGGTGTTTACAAAAGATGTGATATTGATGTAAATTTAACAAAAAAAGGAGCAGTCACAAACTGTGGCTACAAACCAAAAAAGAACAACCTCCACTGCAGCTCAGAGTTAATGCATATCAGCTGTTCCAATTACTGACACAATCAGCCACCGAGGGGAGTATCCACTGCCATCATTCAAGCAAAAGTCAATACAACTCAAACAATACCTATTCTCACAACGTATTTCATATAGTTAATACTTTACATGAAAACCATACATTTGGCTCCAACAAGCATGCGTGTCTAGAAATAATCTAGTTGCCAAGCTCCGTCTCTACTGTGCAACCTTCTGGTCTGGTTTCATGAAGCAGATACTGCATCTACATTAGCAGCACATGCTCCTTGAAAATAATGAGCAAACAACAGTATCAAATAAGTTTGGTAGGAATAGTTCAAATGAATTTCTGACATCACCATGCAGGTCATTGTCTTGTTTCTTGGAATTGTTCCAAAGTGGAGTACCTAGAACCTTATCCTTTGTTGATACGGTCCCCAAAATAACACATCTAAGCTGAATTACACTCACACAGGAATAAATAAAATTATTCCCCCTACTCTAACTCCCTCAAGAGTTAAATCAAGACCTTATCCACAAATAAAAGACTTAGTGCTCAAAAAGCATAAAGTTTGAAACCTAAATATTAATAATGATTCTACAGTCTTACCATTTATAAGCTGCTCATGCAGGTGATCCAAGTACTGATTTTATGTTAAAAATGGTCAAAGACGTTCTGAGTCTCACCCATCCTGGGCATATAACTGATGCTTATTCTGTGCACTCATCTAATGCTGCAAGTCCCTGTTTTCTGTTACTCTGGTTCATCAGGTCTCTGTTCCGGGTTGGTCACACGCTCACACTGATGGGTTCCCACCAAACTAAAGATGGACATGTTAATCAAGCATAGTCTGCACATGCTCACACAGTCCTGAAGGGGGGGTCTAAGTAATAGCCTAAATGAAAGCACCTATGTCCATGTCAAGCATCAAGTTTTAGGGGCCTTGGAAAAAAAAAGATTCTCAGAATCATAGTTTAAATAACAGTATAATCATTTTCCAGCAACCAAGGTGATAGTGTGGGTAGAACAGATGATTGTAAACATAAATGTTGCTGTAGTGTGTACACAAACACATCTTTACTGCCACCTTTTGTCAGCAACAAGAAAAACACCCAACCTCCACATTATGTTTAGACACTAAGCTAGTAATATTTTCCTTTTTTATCCAGTCAGGGTTTTAACTCTTGCTCAGAAGTTTATTTTTTTATTTATATAAACACATCACAGTTTTGATAAGAATCTTTTAAATGTAGATATTAAATCATTGTGACTGAGACACAGAGCACAGGCATTTTACAGTTGAAAACTTTACTTGTAAAACTGGACACCGTTTCTAACAGACCTCAAACATATCCTTGGTGTTTGTGTCCGATACCATTACCTGCGATGATCTCGTCTAGGTTGGTATATCAGCCTAGACGAGATCATTGGTATTGCTCCTGCTGCAGCTTTGACCATTCGCTCTACCTTTGTAGTGAGTTATTCATACACTGACAAACGAATTACAAAATAAATTAGTGTTTAAACTAAATTTCTTATGGTGAGCTTTTTTATTTTTTCTTTTTAACGTAGAGGCAGCGACAGTTTGACAGTCCTCACCCGCACAACAAGACCCCCCCCCCACCCAACAAACC